GCCAATAATGTCCGCCTTCTCACCTCATTTGGAGCAGCAGCTTGCTGAGTGTCAAAATGTTTAATACCATTTGGTTTTGTTTGGTGCTTTCAACCAGTCACTTCACTTTCTTTGGTTTCCTTTTCCGATTAATTTTCTTCTTGAAGATTACAGAATATGTTTCTCTTTGAGTTGGTTTAATGTGAATCGGGGTTTGAAGTGACGGGTTCTTGTCCAGTACGTTCTCCCTTCCCCACCTCGCTCCTCCTCCAACATTTTTCTCCTTGAGCTAATCTGGAAGGGGCATAAAAAGTGGAACTGGTGGGTTTCCTCAGCACAAACTGCTTGGCTGGTCCTCAGATTTCTCTCACTAGCAGCTTCCTGGGAACACATTTTAAGGATGGATTCTGGTGTTGCAAAAGTCAACCCTGGATCTCCCAGTGTCTCTATGTAAATCTGTCCCTTTCCAAAACATCTCTCACCTTGTGGACCCCAGCTCTGTTTTTAACTGAGTGGTGGTGGTGGGGAACCTCAGCGGTGTTGATTGGTACCTTCTCGTTGGAAAGAAGAATGCACCAAAAAAGCCACTCACAGAACACAAACTGGGTTAAACCTCCCTGCACCCGTGAACAGCAGCAAAACCAATTGGCTTTACAAGGCTCTGAAGTTATGGAACTGTTCCATTTCTAATGAAATTTATGTTAAGCAGAATTTGGGGTGCAGATTTGCCTAGGTGAAATGCTTATCTAACAGAGAATATTAAACAGACTCATAACTAACTGCACTTAAATCTTTCTATGCCTCAGAAATGGCTTCTCTGCATCGAATTAACTTGACTTGTGTCACAAATGTCCAGCTCCAGTTCTCAAATCTGGTTCTACCAATAACAAGCTGTATCCTTGTTTGAAAAAAGCTCCTGGGAGTTTTTTGGCCATTGGAACTGTGTGTTTGTGTGTGCCTGCTTGTGTGTGTCTGTCGGGAGATGTTGCACATGCACATGGAGCATGCACATACGTGTACGCATGCAAGGTTGGCTTCGTAAAACAGGTCTGACAAAGCTGTCATGGAAATCAAACATCCCTGAAACTCAGGGAAGGTGCTTCTCGAAACCAGAAATTGGTAAAAAGTCTTAGATAAGTGTCTGTAGTAGAGCCCTGAGTGTCTCATCCCAACTTTTCCTTTCCAAAGAGGGCAGTCATTCTTTTCTTTCCAGTCCTTTGAAAGTGTTGGATAGCAAAATGGAAGGAATCTCTTCACCATGGTTTTTTCCATGTAAAATTTCAGTCTTTCGGCTGCTCTGCGTGAAACCCAGCTGGACCGAGAGCTGAAATTGTCCTTGACTCAAGCTCTAGCTGCACTTTCTTCCCACCACCACTCCTCCTCCTCGGCCCTGACCTAAACGCTGCCCCAGAAATTCTCAGCTGGACAAACCTCATGTCAACCACCAAATCTGAGTGGTACAGCAATTAAAACAAACAGCAGCAGGATGGCTCCTGGTACCCAGGGATGAGCCCTCCAAGTATTGCCTGTTAAACTAAATTCAGTTGTCACAGCCCTGAGCCATAGCAGGGATGTATCCAGGGACTCTCTGAGGTCTCCAGCATTTAATGGTGGAGTTATTTTCACATCCTAGACTGGTGTGTGGATGTTTGTATATTTGTGCACATACAAGTGTGTAGCTCTTTTTAAACCAGGATGCACAGCAGAAGTGCTACGACCTCTTTGGGTCTTGGTTAGCACTAACCCTAATCTAAACCCTTCCTTCTCACAGAACGCACATCAGCTTGGCCTGGTGGCATCCAGATGTTGCTTCCCCTTAGTTAAGTGTGATAAATGCTGTTAAAACCCGGGCTGCTGCAGGGAGGGTGGGCAGAGCTGCCTGGCAGTGCTGTGACCATGCTCTGCACAGCCCCAGCCCCGAGCTTGTGTTGTGTGAGTGGATCTCTTCCATCTCTGCCCAGAGGCAGGCAGGCAGCAGCGCTCTGTTCCCTTCAGACTCCGATTCTCAGCACTCCACCATACATCAAATGATGCTTTTCAGTTCTTAAATTCTGGTTCGTTCTTCCTTTTTCTTCTTATTTTTCTCTTTGGTTTCCTTTCTCTTTCAGTTCGGTTTTGATTTCTCTGTAATTAGCCTCGGTTTGAATTAATTGTCTTGTTGCGTTTCCATGACAACTCAGTGTCTGCATCCCACCTGCCGTTGTTTGCTGTTGGTGCTGTTTGCTGGCCGGATCTTGTCCGGCGTATGTCTCCCCATTTCTCCTCACCTCTTCCCACCTTGCCTCCCCTCTCCAGAAGGTGACATACCAGCCCCTCCTCAGAAGAGTCATCCCCCCCCCTCCCCAGATCTGTCTGCATGTTGACCCCACTTGTTCCTTTTCAAGTTCTCTTCATCTTGTCTCAGATTGTGACCGGCGTGGTCTTCGCATGGCTCCATTTTCTGAAGTGTGGTACCTCCTGAAGCAGGCAGTGGACAGAAGGATGGAGTAAGCAGTAGGGACGTGCCCTCATGTCTAGGGCTAAAAGTCTTCCCTTGCAGCACAACAGGAGGGAGAAAGGATCATACTGCCTGGTCTCTTGAGCCACTGCTAGTGCCTGAGGTGGTGCAAATACCCTGGCACTCTCCTTACACCTTTGTCTAAGCAGAAAGTCATCTTCTAGTGTTAGTGTCCAGGTGAGTTTGCAGTCCTTCCCTCCCCGTTCCAGTCCTTTCCCCAGCCACACTGGAGGTGAGGGCATGCTATCCGTTCTCTTGGCAAATCCATGCATGCAGGAATTCTCCTTTGACATCTCTGAGCTCCTAATGCCACAAATCTGGAAGTCTTCTCTTGCCTCTCAGTACTGGTTCCTGGGTACTGGTAACCATGCAGAAAAGGATCCAATAGCCCAATGTGAAGAGCACACCTTCAATGAAGACATCTCCTTGTCAGCTTGCAGGAGGAGATGGGGGCTGTAGCTGGCTTTTGTTCAACAGAGCCCCACTACATGGAAAACAGCCACTACCTCTCCTGGCAGCGCCCTTTCCAGCTGAGAAGATCCATAATGTTGACTAGCAGCCAGAGAAGTGTGCTGGAAGATAAACACTAGAAAAGCCCAAGACATCAGTTCCAGGGGACATCTGAAGGCACTAGGACTTGGGAAGAGCAATGGCAAGCTAAGCTCTGGTGTCCTTTGCATTGCTTTTGCATGGATGCAGTTGCCACTGATTTCTTCAGAGAGGTTACCTGGGAATAGGACAGCAGGGACAGATACCTCCATCCCCCAGTTCTCCCACTGTCCTGCCCCCTTGCTCCCCGTGCCTGAGGGGAGTTCACTGCATGGCTCTGTGAAGCTGGAGGAATCCCGCTCCCTGCTGCTGTGCCTGCATCTTCTCGGGGTCTGTAGCCTTTTGTCTTTGCTTGCAGGGTGGGTCCTTACCCTCAGCTCCCTCCCTAGGGCCTCTTTTGCACATTCCCCTGCTTTTATCCCTAAGGAAGAGCCCCCACCTCAGCCAGCCCAGTTAGTTCAGAAAATGGAGCCACGGAAACCGCAGCCTCCCCTTTGCGTCCATGTTCTTACTGTGTAAGGTCTGGAAGCTGCATCCACCTCTCTGCTAAGGAGATGCACAGAACATGTCACTGTTTTCTCAACGTTAAAGTTTCATTACCTTGTTTTTCTTATTAATTCTATTCTATTTATTATTCCGCCAGGGCTGAGATGTGACAATGTGAGCCACCACATTGGGTCACATCAGCTAGAAAAAGTATGCAGCATTAAAGTGGGTTTCCCCCTCCCCTCCCTCTCTTTCTCTCTCTTCTTTCTCCCTTCCCCTCCTTGTTCTCCTTCTCCTGGTCTTCCTTCCTTTCTCTGTCGCTCACTTTCAGTATCCATGTGGGCATTTGCTAGCCGCCCAGAAATGATATTTCTCTGCATTTTCCTCTCTCTTTCTCTTTCTCTTTCTCTTTCTCTCTTTTTCTCTCTCTCTTTTTTACCTATTTTGCATGATGTTTGTGACTCTGAGAGCTGCATCTATCGATGGAACCGTGTCAGATCTTAAAGAGGCTTCGTTAGGGTTTCTATACCCGAAAACCACAAAAATTTCATTAGAGTTTCTCATCTTTTCCAACTCCCTCTCGCTCCAGGGGGACTGCTCCCCCTGGGCGGTTCTCACACGCAGACACCAACTAAATTCTGTCCCGCTCCGAGGACTCCCTCTCCTCCCTTTTAAACATTTTTGCCTCTTTCCGTTCCAAGTGGTGCCTCTCTGGCGTTCGGGGATGTGACACTTCTCTCTTTGTTGAATTCTTTGAGTCCAACAAGGCAAAAAAACCTTGAGAAGTTTCCATCTCCATCCCAACCTTCTCCTCGCCACCACCCCACCTCTGCAGCATCCCTCGGGCAGAGCGGCCGCTGGGAGGGGGCCCCTCTCTGGAGATGGGAGCAGGCACCTGGACCACTCCAGGCCGTGGTGGTGGAGCTGCTGTTCCTTTTTGATGTAGGAGAAGGTGATTGGGAGTCGGACTCCACTGGAGAAGGGGAGGAGCAGGTTTCCTGGGGCGCGGAGCGGGGAGCTGGGGGCCCCAGCGCTCTGGAGGAGATTCTCATCGCTCGCCAAGCCAGCTCTTGCCAGTAAAGATGAGAAATTGCTAATAAATTTTTGTGTATTTATCTGTGCTGTGATGGGTCTAATCTTGATCAATGGAACCCTGTTGCTATGAAATATCGCTTTTATGTCTCTATTCTATATATTGTTTGTGAAGTAAGAATTTATTTGAAGTTTCATTTCGTTGGCTTTTGGTTTTTGGTTTTTTCATTTATTTGTTCTTTTCGTTTTGTTTTGAATGAAGGAAGAAAAGAAACGATGACAAACCCCATCTATATTTAAATTATCTTTTGCTCTTTTTTCTTTTTCCTCCCTTCTTTTCTTTTCTTTCTTTCTTCTTTTTTTCTTTTTTTTTTTTCCCTTTTCTTTCTTTTGTTTTTCGTTTTGCTTTGCTTTTTTCCTTTTGTTTTTTTGTTACCTCTGTGCGTCTCATCCGCAGTTCGCCGGGTGGCCCCTCGCTTCTCCATCTTACCCGTCAGCCACGAAATCATGCCCGGGGGCAACGTCAACATCACCTGCGTGGCCGTGGGTTCGCCCATGCCATACGTCAAGTGGATGCAGGGGGCCGAGGACCTCACGCCTGAAGATGACATGCCCGTGGGCCGTAATGTCTTGGAGCTCACGGATGTCAAGGACTCAGCCAACTACACGTGTGTGGCCATGTCCAGTCTGGGAGTCATAGAAGCCGTTGCTCAGATCACGGTGAAATGTAAGGGAGTGTGAGCACGCCTGCGTGAGCGAGTGCGTGGGTTCCCCGCCTGCATGGGGGCTGCTGCACGCGTGTAGAGGTGTGCAAAGCACACGTGGGGGGCACGGCTGTACCAGAGCATGTGTGCAAAGCAAACGTGGGCACGGCTTGTGTTCATGCATGTGAGCATCTGTAGATGAGCTCGGTCATGCCTGTCAGCCTTCACGGCGCATGAGTGCGACTGCCCCTGTCTGACTGCGATACCTGTTTCTGCTTGTGTCTTTGCCTTCTGAGCTGCATCTGAGGAGTGTGGGGACGCAGTTGAGCATGTAAAAGGTGGTCGTGCATGAGTGTGTGTGTGCATGGGAGAAGGAGCAACGTGGCTGGATGGGCATGTGGGTGCCTGACTGCATGTATGTAGGCCCGTGTTGTTACAAGCCCGTATGTACCTGCATAGGTATGTGAGCATGAGCAGGAAGACAACCTTTTGCACAAGTACCATGTGCTGGGATCTGTGCATGTGTCTTTGGGGACCCCACGCACAAAGAAACCCACAGTGAAGGGGAAGCTGGTAGCTTGAGATCTTTCCTCGCTTTAGGACAACAGGGCTGTTTGTTATGAAGAGAAGTGGGACTCAAAGCCCTGCATGCTTGTTTCTGTCCTGGGCTGTGAGGCTGGCTGGGCACTTTGCAAGGAGCCTTGGATGGCTTGAAACCCGCATGCAGTCCTCTTCCAAGGTTAGAGGTTCGGCCAAGGCTCTGCGCATCTCTGGCACGTGTACCCTTGCAGTAGAGCCTAGTTCCAACGTCTTAGTGGCCGCTGTTGCCTCAGCAAGAGGGGGAATAACCCCAGCTTCCAGCTAGCAATTCCCAAGAGGAGCACGGGTGCAATCTTCAATCTATTCTGTCCTCAGCAGGGGAGTATTAAAACCCAAGCAGGATGCCCCTGTGGTTGGGTGAGTGTAGAGCTCTTTGTCTGAGCTGGTGTCTGCTCTGAGTGATGGCATTGCTCACGAGGGATCTGGGGAGAAAAGGGGGTGGGAAAGGATGTGGGTGGGTGGGGGAGAGGAGGAGAAATACTTTGGAGAAGGGGAGGGATGAAGAGAAACAATCCTGTTGTGTCAGTGCATCAGACTAAGGAAGGTCTGACGGTAGACATAAGTAGGGACAAGTGAATCTTGACGTGACACTTCCTGAGCTTTTGCACAGGGAGTGGGCTCACGTGCTAGCAGAAGGATGCCTGGGGCTGGGCTGAGGTGCTCTTTATTTTCCTGAGTATTTTCTTCCTTCTCCTTTTTCTGTGTCTTATCCTATCAATTCAAGAAGCTGCTGTGTAAGATACATTGCTTCTGCTTCTGTTCTATCTCTTCAGATGAGGAATCTTGCCCTGCTGGTGCCTTCTGCCTTTTGTCATTTTATTCCTATTCTGTTCCCCCTCCTGGTCCTGCATGTAAGCATCCGCAATCTTTGCCAGGCAGAAGATGAAAGGAGAAATTAGAGCTTTAGAGATGCTCAAGTCTAGAGAAGATGAGGTTGGAAAGGGTCTAAAACGTGTAGTAAAACACGTAAAGCTTCCTGCTAACAGCGTCTGACATTGTGTGTGCGATCTCCAGCAAGCTCAGTCACAGAATCATGGAATGGTTTGGGTTGGAAGGGACCTTAAAGCTCCTCCAGCTCCAACCCCCTGCCACGGGCAGGGCCACCTTCCACTAGGGCAGGTTGCTCCAAGCCCCATCCAACCTGGCCTTAAGTTCCTTACACAGACAAAGCCAAAGGTGGTGCTCTGGATGAGGGACAGGGAAGATGAGTGTTACCACATGCTTGTGGCTTCAGAGGGAGCACTCTGAGTACTTTGGTGCTGGAGAGCACAGTCCTCACCCTCCCGCTGCCCGCACGCTCAGCCTGGAGCATCAGCAGTGCCAGCGCCTGTCGGAGGAGCCGATTCCGCGGTCGGGCCGTAAGAGCCGATTCCGTGCTCGGAAGGAGCTCTGGGAAAACTGCTTTTCCTTGGTGCCACGTGAGCTGGCGGATCTGCAGCTGAAGCCTGTGCTAATGATTCCAGATGTTTAGCTGAACACTTCCCTTTTGATGGAGCAGTTTAAGAAGGATAATAGAGTGGATAACTAGGTTCATAATATTTCAGCAGCACTTTACTGAGCTGCCGCGCTGGGATTGGTGCTGTGCCTCTGGCTCCTACAGCCATAACCAGCCCAATTAGGCACCATTTCAGCTTATGTGGGGTTTATTTAAATGTCTGTTCTTCCTGATTCTCAGCGCTCCCCAAGGCTCCTGGGACGCCAGTGGTGACAGAGACAACAGCAACAAGTATCACCATCACCTGGGACTCTGGAAACCCAGACCCCGTGTCCTACTATGTCATTGAGTACAAGTCTAAAAGCCAGGATGGACCATATCAGATCAAAGAAGACATCACCACCACGCGCTACAGTATTGGGGGGCTCAGCCCCAACTCTGAGTACGAGATCTGGGTCTCTGCAGTCAACAGTATCGGGCAGGGGCCTCCCAGCGAGTCCGTGGTCACTCGCACTGGGGAACAAGCTCCTGCCAGTGCCCCCCGTAACGTGCAGGGGCGAATGCTGAGCAGCACCACCATGATCATCCAGTGGGAAGAACCGGTGGAGCCCAACGGGCAGATCCGTGGCTATCGCGTGTATTACACCATGGAGCCTGATCAACCCGTCAGCAACTGGCAGAAGCACAACGTGGACGACAGCCTCCTGACCACAGTTGGCAGCCTGCTTGAGGATGAAACCTACACAGTGCGGGTCCTGGCCTTCACCTCCGTGGGAGATGGGCCTCTTTCCGACCCCATCCAGGTGAAGACACAGCAAGGAGGTGAGCACCTGGGTCACGAAGCTGGGATGCAGAGGGCTGCGGGAGGGAGCGGTGGTGTACATGGCATTGTCCAGCCGTGGCTGCTGTGTCACTACAGCTGCTCTTTCTTTCTTGATTCGATTTTGCTAAGCCAGAAGTAACCTCCTGGGAGGAAGCTGAGTCCAGTAGCTGCATCCAGAGAGCCTGGTGCATGGTTTCTGACCTGGTTGTTGGTTAAATGGGTGGGGAAAGCAGTTCTGCCAAGAGAATCCATTTCTGTTGTGCTGTGTTTCAGGGATGCATCTTACTGCTTCCAGTTTCCAAATGTCTTTAATAGACCTAAGAACACTCGCTGCCCAGGCAGTGGTAGAGCCTGTGTCTTCCTAACGTTTCTTCTACCCAGAAACTACCTTCTCAGAGATGAGTGGGGAACCCCTTTATGCCTTTTCTAATAAAGGGAAGCAAAACAGAGCCTGAATTGTCACAGCAGATGTGTTGAGCTGAGAAGAAAAGATGTTTTGTCATGAGTTGCCACCCAGCATGCTTTTGGGTGCTCTGCTGGTGGTGTGGGGTTCTGCTGAGGAAACCCTGTGTCCTCAATGGGCTTCCCACCTCTAGAACCTTTTAATACTGGGATTAATGGGGAAAGCTGTATTCTGCACTGCCAGGGAAGAGGGATGTGATCCAATAGGACTCTTCCATCTCCAGCAGCTCTGGACAAGCTCAAGTCCTGCAGTGGGCCTTAACCCTCCACTGCTTTAAAGGAAGGGCCTGCCCCCCCCTCTTCAGTGTGGCATTTTGCTGCCGACCTGCAATTCACACACAGGCTTTGAGGAACACAGGGTAGGAATCTTCTCCTTAGTTAATGTGGTTTCTCCTGTCTTGCCTCCTCTGCCTTGTCACCTCCTTCGCTGTGTCAGTTCCTGGGCAGCCGATGAACTTCCGAGCAGAAGCCAAGACAGAAACGAGCATCGTGTTGTCGTGGAGCCCTCCCCGCCAGGAGATCATAGTGAAGTACGAGCTCCTCTATAAGGAAGGAGACCACGGCAGGGAGGTGAGTCTGGAGAGGAGCAGTGCGAAGGGTTGGGGGGCCCACGGGGCCGGTGTCTCCTGCTCCCTTTTTGTTTGGTTTTATTTTTCTCTTCCCCCTCGCCCACCTCAGGTGCAGAAGAACTTCGAGCCAACGACCTCCTTCACTGTGGAAGCCCTGAAGCCCAACACTGAGTATGTCTTCCGGCTGGCCGCCCGCTCGGCTCTGGGCCTGGGGGCCTTCACCCCGGAGGTCAGAGAGCGCACCTTGCAGTCTAGTAGGTGTCTCTCCTTTTCCCACCCTTCTCTGAGGGGAAGACAGTCAGGGAGCCATTGATGGTGGGCACAGGGGTACGGAGCTGTGGGGCGGACGTTCGCGGTGCGGCGGCGGTTCACACGTCTGGGCTCCCTCTGCAGGGAGGTGGCACCTTGGGGACCTTCTCCCTTTGCTGAGCCAGAGATGTGGAGGAGGAGCGGAGCTGGTGCATGCGTTTCGAGGGTGATGGGAGGCCAGGTAGCACCATCCACTTGGAGGGGTGGGAGCAGTGAGGAGCTCGTCGATGGGCTGCGCTGGCCCGTGGTGCTGAGCATGCTCAGGGAGGACGTCACCCAGCATCACGCAGCAGCTTGCATGTCCCTCCACCAGCAGCAGGCTGGCTGGAACGGGGGCACAAGCAAAGGAGCAGGGAGACGGTGGGGGAATCGGGAGGAAGAGGAGAAGGGAAGGTGGTTAATCACAACTCCAACATTTTTAACAGCCTTTGGGAAAGTGGTCCTCATGCTCTTTCCCATGAGTGACTTCGTAGCCACAGGGAGGAAGGCAGCAAGCCTGGAATGGCCCAGCAAGTGCTGGGAATGGTCCCATTTGGGCTCTGGCAGAGCGGGGAAGAGGAGTCATGTGGAGGCTTGGAGGGGAGCGGCTCTTAGTGACACCAGGATGGAGTGTATGCAACCAAAACGTGCTGGTTTTAGTTTAATGGATTGTCTCCCTTCGCTGTTGCCCTGGGGACAATAACCCTGGATGGCAATATTTCAACCTGGGCTTTTCACAGATCTTTGCTTTTAAATGAGGTGTTTTTTTCACTGCATGAGTGGCTGTGGCAGCTGTTCTTTGTGTTTTCTGTCTCCTCTCATCTCTACTAAATCACTCCGCTGCAGTTTGGAGTAGCCGGGAGCAGAACTAACTCAGAAATGGCTCTGGTCACCAGTGTGAGGAGAGCGGGCGCCTGCCCCCATCTCTCAGAGTCCTTAACAAGGGGGAGCAGCATCTTTCTGGTTTAGCTGTCACGTCCTGCTGTCTGTCCTTCTCTCCCCGTGTCTCTCTCCTCTTTCTCTCCCCCCAGGAGTGGGAGGAAAGGGGAGTCTGTTTCTGCATAGACACAATTCCTTACCGGTGCTTTCTCAGGCCTCCAATCCGTGCAAAGAGATTTTGTTTTCTCTTCTCCTTCAAATATCCCCCTCCCCTTTTCTTTTTTTTTTTTTAATCTTTCTCCTTACTCTTTGTATTGAAAGAAAATCCTTTCCTGACTCTGCTGCAAATCTGCTGGTTCTGAGCCCAGTGTGGTACTTTTCAGAGGGAGCATCACTGTGGGGTGGGGGAAAATGAACTGAAAGAACCTGAAAAATAAGTGTCAAACGCTCTGCTTCTGTTTTCCAAGGGGTTTTCCTCCTTGAGATTCATGGGAGATGGGAGGAAAAAGAGGGTTTGGGATTTGTGCTTTCTGGGTTGATAAAAACAGGCTGGAAGAGGGGGGTGGGAGTGATGGCAATAGGCCTTAGTGACACTGCAGATTTTTCCCTGAAGGGTGAAGAGAAGAGGATCTGGGAAAGGAAAAGGCTTTGGGGCTTTTCCTGACTTGGCGCATGCCCAGGTCGAGGCCGGGTTTCTTTCTTTGAGCTCAGCTTTCATAGGGATAGTTCCATTAATTGAAGGCTCTCAAGAACATGAGCTGGGAGCTGTCAGTGTCCTGGAACTCAGTGAAACATGTTTTCCTGGCTGGCTGTTGGAGGAACGAGTCAATTCTCCCAGGTCCGGGCGACATCCTTCGGCTCACAGACCTTCTGGCTCGGGACAGGCTTTTGTGTCTTCCTCTGCAGCTCCTTTTCCGTTCAGCTCCTCCTTGGCCTGCTCCTTGGCTCTTCTTTCTCTTCTCTTCTGCTGTCTGCTTGCCTGCCTGCATGCTCGCGCAGCCCGGTGACACCAGCTCCCTGCTCTGTCTGTCTCTTGCTGGGCGGTTTCACACCACGATGGCATCTTGTCTCTGCAGCAGCAAAGCCTCCTCTGTCCTCCTGCAGCCTGCCCCTCCGAGCCGAGCTGCATGTGCCTGCATGCCGCAGCCCTCCCTGCATTGCACACCTCTCTGCACACCCCCCTCCACCTCCCTCTGTCAGGGTGAGCATCATAACCCAAGTAAAATCCATTAAACTAAAGGTAAAGTATCTTTTTCTTCTTGAAGTAGCTGGGTTTTAACTCTTCAAGTACCAGAGACGTAGATTGTAAAACTAACAGAATCTCCTGGCTGGAGGAAGCAGGTTTGCCCTTTCTGACTAGCCATGACCTTCCCAGAGCTCCTTGGCAACTCTCCTACTGGGAAATGTCAGAGTGCAAAGCATGCATCGACAGACAGGGGTGGCAGGGTGGGTGCTGTGAGGCTGCATGTGCAGGCGTAGAGGAACAACGGGGCTTTCTTACCCTCTGTTCCTTCCTAAGAAAGGATGTTTCTCCAACCCATTAGCTCTGCTCTCCTTCCCTTCCCCCTTCCTTACAGTATATGAAGTGAACGAAACTTATGCAAAGTCTATGGTACCTAAAGGGTTAAAAAACATTGTATTGTACAAGGTCAGTAAGGGTCATTCTTGTGGCTTGGACAGTCAACTTTAAAGCATGTAAAAGATGCAGCTCAGGTGAGTACTGGCTGGTCTCAAGCGGATTCACAAATACAGTCCACCCTGTTGCTGCAGGCTCACCCCCACGTGCGTGGATCTGCACACACTCCTGTATGTCCTGGAGCCCATGGGAGGGTGGGAAGGGGTTCCCAAAGAGCTGTCTGCCTGGTAAAAACAGAGGCCAGCAGACAAAGATGCTCATCTCCTGGCTGGGGGGCTCTCGCCTGTGCTGTGGCTCCCTTTCCAGCAAAGGGGCTTGTTGCAGAGTCGAGCTCGCAGCCTCTGCTTTGGGCTGTGATGCTTTGCCTCCCGCACACAGCTCCCGCCACCTCAGTGCTGTCCCCACGCACATGCACGTCTCCAGGGTCACGCAGGTTGGGCTGGATTGTGAAGGAAACTCACAGTGCCATGAACTTCCCCAGATGTGTCTCCAGGATGGCCGGCCAGCACTTGGTGGCTGTTCTCATCCAGGTGCTGTAGTCGATAAGAGTGATGGGGAGAGGGTCCGGGTGGGATCTGGGCCTTCTCCCCTGTCACCCACCCACCCACCCACCCT